TGAAGCTTTAAAAAAAGCTGACTGGTCTATTATTTGTTGCTGTAGAAAATATTTATGACAAAGGAATAGACCTTTAAACCATAAGGTACAAAAATATTTCTGTGTCAGCAGAAGAAAAACTAAAAGAAGACAAAAAACTAAGAAAGAATAATGATCTGATTTTAGTGAAGAATAAGAAAGGTATCATCTCTTTAAAAATGACTTGGATGTATTTTTATCACCTCCAAATCCTCCAAATTTTCATTTCTTGAAGGTTGGTGAGAGTTCGTCTTTCTTCTGGTTTATTAAAAAAAAAGTGATAACAAAAATGAACAGGTGGTGTCAGGTTAGTGTGTAAATTCTAAATTGAATTTCAATGATCTGACAGAGAAAACAGGGCTCATCCTCACCTCCTCCGCCAGCAGACAGTGAGAAGTATTAAAAGGAGCAGAGCTGCAGAAACTCCTGCAGCTGCTGGTGTCCATGTTCCTGTGATACTTTGGACAGTGAGAGTCTTTGGAGCAGAGCTGATATCTTTGTTGCTTTTCACAGCACAGGAGTAGCTTCCTGCATCCTCCCTGCTGACTGGGTCTAGGATCAGATGTTTGTTCTGGTTCTCTCTCGGGGTCAGAGGTCGACTGTTCAAGTACCAAATGTAGTTTGTGTTGTCAGTCAAAGGACAGCTGGTACTGCAGGTCAGTGTGACTCTCTGACCCTCTGTCACCACTGCAGAAGGACTCATCTTCACTCTCAGCTCTGAAAGATACTTAAACTTGTCAGTAACTGTGAGAGATATTTTATGTTAAGTGTTTCTTATAAACAGCAGGTTGGTTTGTAGCGTCAATGTTACGAAGTGACTGAGAGAATCTTTTTTTCTTTTACAAATATGAGAACTGTATTAGGTTTAAGAAAAGAAAACTATATAATTTAGTAAAGATTTTATTGTAAAGGATAACATAAAGAGCTTTAACTCTATGTAGGAGATTTAATTGCTCACATAACTTAACATTTGTCTGTCTGTTCTTTCTGTTTGTTTGGGGACTGATAACCATGCATGGACTGAAACAGAAAACTTAGACTAAAAAAAAACTTTCATCACTGACTGAATGAGGAAAGAAAATTGCATCAGTTTGTATAAAC